TGTTGGTTATGAGGTAACTGAGTTTCAAGTTTCCATTGTTAGTCCTGCTAGTTCTATTAAAATTCAGGGGTGCTCTATTAGTATCGATTATATGGGATATGTTGTTTAATTAGTGTAGTATCTTTTTGTATGTTGCTGCAGTTACTTCTTCATGCAATTGATGCATTCAATGCTAATGTTGTTCTGGTTTTGGGTCAGGTAAATGCTTTCCATATGAAAACTTTGTCATGTGTGTATTGCTGCGATCTAATTGCAACTAATCCTATTATGAGTTGCATTTGCTTTGATTTGGTTAGGATAGTTGTTTGCGTGCCACTTCAGTAAAACTGCTTAGAAGCAGCTTTTTTTGCCTTAAGTTTTGAAAATGTTTGTTGTGGGCTGCTGCATTTTGACAAAGCCGACTGTTTGGTATAACTTGTCAGGCTTTTAGTTTATTTGTTTTCTAAATTCAATAAGCTGCAAGTGCTCACTTTTTTTGCAGCTGCGATTGGATTACTTCAATTTTTAATTTTTGTATTTTTTTAAGCTGCCAGTAAGTTTTACTTAACTGCAACATTGGGCTTAATATATTATGATATTCAAACAACATTAACGCCATTGTTGACATGTCAAAGAATGAGATACATTGATAAACTTTTCAGCTGAAATTTACGATTTTAACAATCGAAAACCATGTTTCTCCAGATAAACTAATTATATCCACACTCTGATCGTGCTTCTGGGAAGTTTCTTTTTATTTTTTGATTTTAAATATTACGATTGTGGCTGTATCTCACTGCATTGCTACTGAATGTTATTAAGTTCAATTTTGTTCGTTAGTTTTGCATGTGCACTGGTTGCTAGTAACTTAAGAAACTATTTCAGATTCAATTTTCACCCTGGGGTGGTTCATGTTTTTAAGCTCACCCAAACTCTGTGCAGGAGAAACTTTGCAGCATGCTGAAAGATGTATTGAAAAGCAAGCCAAATGTTGATGTTGTGAAACTTCAAAAATCAGGTGGTGTTGTATCGAGGAATGCAAAAGTCCGTCAAAAGGCCAGGAGCTACAGAATAAGGGTAAACATCAGCCTTTTTGGTTATATATATAGGAATTTTGTTAATCATTTAGTTATTTGTGTTAGTATGGAGAAAATCTTGAATGATTATTTACAAATTTCCTGCCTTTTTCAACAAATCCTTTTGTGTTTCCTTGTTATATAGCTAAATCATGCCGATATTTTTTATTCCAGGAATATTTTTATGGCCTTGCAAATGATCTTTCCCCACATTCCAACATCTTCAGTGATTTGTCTGTCTATAGAATTGGTGGTGGACCACAGGCCCCACGTTCAGCCCTGCCAATTGGTGCAGAGCTTGCTGCCAACCCTGCATGATTGGTTCTTGTGAATATCAACCGGGATTTGCTCCATTTGGTTCTTGCTGTTTCATTTGCCAAAGAACCGGACCAAATTATTTCAAGGTATATGCAATGCCCTTGCCTTTGCTTTTTCAAAATCCATGGTATCATAAGATGGGAGGTGAATTAGTAAAACTTTTTTGAATGTTGCCACTATAATGTACATTTGGCGTCATGATTTAAGTTGACTCAACTGTAAATTTTTTAACCTTGTTTAAGTGCATGAACTGAATAATTACTTTTTTCTTACAGTAATGTCGCAGGGTTCATCTATATCACAGACATAGATATTCAGAGGTTTGGATTTCAAAATTCTTCATTCCTTGATGTGGTCCATACACTTTTTTTCTTTTCTTTTTTTAAATTCTAATTTATCATTTTTAGGAAGAAAATTACATACCTTGCACCATTGGCTGGGGAATTCCCGAGCAGATTCTTGATCATGGGAACTTTGACATGGCTTGAAACCTAAAGTGCCCAACTAACTGCATTCCTTATTTTCCTCAAATCGTTTCATGTTAATCTTATCACTGATTTGTGTATGTATAATGCTTGTACTGACACTGCAAGGGGGTTTTAAGAGGTGAAACCCATTTATTCTGCTGAGAGGATTATTTTGCATATGATTCACACTAATGTATACATTCCCAGATAGCTAGCTGATAACATGGTTGATGCTTGCAATTATTTATTTTTTTGTACATAAAAAATTCAGCAATAAATCATCATAAATAGAAATGTTAGGCGATAAATCACCGTAAACATAAATGTTAGGGACCTTAAATTGGCATGAGATGTGATAGTAAAAATAAATAAATTTAATTAATTTAATTGAGGATATAGTTTTTTATAGAGCATAATGTCGAAAGAGAATTCAAGTCACTTGATTGGGACACACAATTTAGTAATGTACGTGATTTTTTATTTTTTAATTTTGATCCGTGACATAATATTCATAATTATATTATAAAAGGCATGAGGAAGCCCAAATATTTTTCTTGGGAGGGAACTTGCGAATTCAATAAATATTGAGACATAGAATCAATTAGAGTTGACCACATAATCACATAAAATATAGGTGAATTATTGCTAGAATTGTTTTATGTGGATTAATTTTATGTAGCTTTTGGGTTGTCAAAATTAAAACTAGCTAATAAAAAAATCAAATAAAAAAAAGTTGATCCAAACAGCCGTTTCTAACCCCCTCAAAAAAAAAAAAAAAAAAAAAAAAAAAAAAAAAAAAAAAA